TTTCGCACACATTGTTCGGTTGTGCTGTGTGAAAGCGATGCGCTGTTTGGCCCGGTTTTGTACGCCGTTTGTAGTCATCAGTGCTATTATCGAACAAAGATTTGTTGTGGAGAAGTGGTGTTTATCGATCATCACACCAGACACTGAAATTTGATGAGTCATCATTTCGCAATACGATGGACGGCGCATCGCGGCACCGCCTCCGGACGACGACGTTGTCCAGTTGTACACAGTCCATCTGTTATCTCTCATTCTCGCTAACGGAAGAATAGAACATCGCGCATGATGGGCAAGAAAAAGCAGCGTTAACCAGTGAATTACGGTACACGCAAGATGACAGCAAGTTGTAGCACATCTCAAATAAAATGCCGCGATTCTGTAATACCCACTCGTCTACAGATGTGCTAACCACTGGGGGGTAGAAAATTCAATATAAAATAAACTTTATTCCAAAGAGACGAGGGGCAAGAGTAATGAAGAAAAGCGGATTGACCGCCTTTATTCCTTCCGCATATCCGCCAGTTCTTTCCTTTTTCCAGCAATTTTTCAGCGTAGACGGTATTTTCAAAGTCTGCTAAATCTGAGAAATAAAATTTTAGCATTAGCGAGCGAATTTGAGTGGTGCTTGGCTGCAAATTTTTTGTGCAGTGGCAGTTGGAATAGCTATGGATAGCAGCCCGGAAGAGCGGCCGACTCATTCAACGATCAATTCAATACACATCGATGATCACATCCATTGCATATATTGTTTCCGGACTCGTTGTACATATAGCCAGTGTGAACTACGTCCATGTCCAGAATGTCGAGCCGTGTTGCATACCTGCAAGCTTGAAGACCATCTAACGATTTGCCCAAAGGTTTTCACTTTTTCTGATGTTTTTTAAATGTCCCACGCGAGAAACAGAAAGGCCTTAACCCATCGAAAAGGCATTGTCATTCCGAATGAGAATGATAAAGTCTTTCACCCATCCAGAAAGAAATATAAGATCAACTTGGATGGAATTTATGCTGTGTTGTAGATGAGCATAAATAATCGTTCGTGCTTCATCCTCTACTTCTAAAATGTCATGAAATGATAAGAGATTAATTAAAATATCTTGTGCAGCAGAGGCATGTTAGGTAGCAATCTGTATTTCATCCCTTAGCTGTAAACGCAAGCCGTATATACCGTGCAAGCAGGAGTGGGAATCATCAGTACAGCCTCCTACTCACCATGCTCGTTGCAGGCGTGTACCAATCAATCGGGGCTAGATTAAAGAGACGACAGGGGAGAAAACACGACAAAAGAGGGGAGCAAAGACACAGAGTGATGAGTGAGGGTAGGGATGGGAATCATCAGTACAGCTTCATAACGCACCATATAGCGAATAAACTTATTATGCGACTGTTGCAGCACAAAACGCATACTTTTGAGACTCTGTCTCTGTGTGTGTTTGCGTGTGTTCTGATTGCATTTTATTTGCTTGAGAACGGGAAGAAAATTTACTTGCAACTAATAATAGAAAGGTATATTAACAGCGGTAAATAACTTGGTAACAACTGGTACAGGCGCATATTAGTAAGTTGCACTAACGAGAATGTAATCGACCAATGGGACAACCTCTGAAGAGCTGGCGCACATAAAACAGGCAGGCGTCGGCTAGTCGATGGAACTATGCAATTCTCAAGAACGTGATCGATAGCTTATTGCAGTTCTTACCTGTCATTGGACCTGTTTTGAAATTGTTTTGACAGTTCAGGGGTTGCGTCTGACACTGTCTGATTCAGCAAGAAATCTCGCCGTTGGGACCAAGAAACATGTTACATGCGCAAAAAAGTTCTTGTGTCGGCAAAACTTTCATTTATGGGTGTGGTCTCACTTTTTTCCACTGAAGCAGCGAGATACTTTATGCTGCAAACTTGTCATAGCAATTTTTCTTGTTTTTTCCATCTTGCACAATAGTTTGTTCGAGTTGCATCGAAGATATCGTCGAAACTGAACATAGCTATTCATACACAGATTATTAAACCGCAACTGTGGCGAATTCATCTTCGAGGAGCGTTGTAGTGAGATGATTATTAATATTATATTATTTGTTAGCCGCTATTGCTGTTATTATTGTCGTTATAATAATTGTCATTATTATCGTTATTATTATTCCAATAATAATTATCATTATTATTGCTGTTATTATTGTTAATTACTATTATTGAAGCGACTTAGGAAAAAATGATCAGGCATGAAGTGATGATGATTAGGTTTACAGAGTATCACAGTACTGAATTTTACGCGATACGTCGAAGATGCTGGAAAGGTTGCCAGCTGCGCGGTTGGAGAAACATACCTTGAAAAATAGCTAATTTGAACATCCCAAATATGAATGACATATACAGTTTAATGTACAGAATCTTTTTAATCTTAGCTAGAACAATATGCCCCGGATAGCTCTGGGGCATCGTTAGCCGAAAAAGACGCTGCTAAAACTAATTGTGCTGCGCCCTACAGAGCCGCTAGTCCTGTTTTCGATAATCGACCAAAGTGGAGTAAAAAATAACAGAATCTGGCCGAAGACATTTTGAAAAGATTCTCTTTTTCAGGCCTTCACAGTCTACAAAACCGGCTTTCTTTCTAGAAGTGTGGGCAATCAGAAATTTATAACTTGATTTGTAAGTAAACAAAAATATTCTTTTTTTTAAAATTTGGAAAGTTTCAGGCTTTTGTACCATGTTTATGCCAAGCATACGGTTGTCCATTGTGGTTACGGCGTTACAAAATAAAACAACATTTGGAACACTGTTGCGCATCCGCAGTTTTCTGCGCTGTCCAGTGGAATAGACGAATCCTGAGTAACTATGCAAAACGTAAGCTGAAACGCCTGGCAAAAGGATTGGAGAAATGGGAGACAGCGCCGGAAATTAACGAACATGAAATAGATGTTTGCATGGCGCTTGCTGATCAGGTTTGTCTTTTCGTTTTTATGCGCTTTTCGCTGTGTAGCAACAGTACAAAACGCATATTTTCACGGGGTTTTTGCGTATGTGACTGCTCTAACTGCTCAACCCATATTTTTTTTGGTTGAGCAAATAGAAATCTGGATTTCTGGGAATATACTTTTTGATATTGAGCGAAAATAGAGGTGATGCGCACTGTTATTCCAAATATTGTAAATTATAAAATGAATCACACATACATGTGTTTTCAAATTATTTTTGATTTCCAGGAAGAAATCATCGATTCCTATCGGATAAGTCGTGAAGACCGAAAATTGCTTACTGATTTCCAGAATCCTTGCCATCCAATGATGCCTCTGCGATTATCCTTTGAAAGACAGCCTTTTTTTGAGGATGAGGATAGTAGCGATGAGGAAAACAGACAAAAGGTTTCTTGAAAACAATCTGTGATAGTTCTGTTTCTGCCATTTTCTGAATTTTATTGAAATGTTCTAACAAAGTCACGAAATTAAATCGTAATGATTTTTAGTTTTTCAGTCTTTCGAAATGAAGTTTGGATAGCGGTCATCCTCTTAAAGGAAAGGCAGCTAAATAAGCTTACTTGGGGGAGAGGGGGGTGGAGGGGAGGAGGTTTGAGGAAAAGGGAGTGGGAAAGGGGAGTGGCTGGACAGAGATTGTCGTGAAATACCCGCGAAAAGCCGGCAAAGAAGCTGCTACAAAGAGATGCATAATGCCTCTGTGAGGCGGTGAAAAAGAAAAGTGCATTCTGTAGTTAAGGGCAGATACACAGTAGATGTGCTGCCAGACAAACGAGCTGGTATTGTGGTGGGTAGCACGTTGCACCCGAATGTGAAGGGAAATGGTTCGATTCCTTCTTGGTCACAACGATTTTCGAAAATGGGCTTCATTCAAGACAGGCAGTGAGAGTCAATTTTGGCAGTTTTTTGGATGCGAACATTGAGAATTCTTACTATTCACTGTTAAGCAATAATTTGCAAGATAAAAATATTGAATTCCCATTTTTTTGAGAAAGCTAAAATTCTTGAAATATGGCATTAGTCTGTTCGCCCTTTCCCTTGTCTCCAACCGCCATTCCTTTGCTGGTCCACTTTTCTCTCCCAGGACTCTTTCTGCCTGTCCATACCTCTTTTCTCTCTCGCTTTTTATAATATCATGAATTCTGCATCAAATGTCTAAGCGATTTTGACGGTTGTCATTTTTGCTAATAAGTTAATCAGCTTAGGTTACAAATTCTTAGAAAATTTGTCATACTGGTGTAAAAAAATCGAATTTTTCTGCTAATCCGCTGAATTATAGCCGGCCTTCTAATATTTCATGGCTGATGGCGAACAGGACCGTTTTGATTTTCCAGAATAAATTAGTTAGGAACTTTAATCAGTAATTGATTGATAATTTTACTTAATATTTCCGGTAATTACCACTTCTGTAATAGTTTTACTGTGTACTGTACGTTAGTCTTTTTCAGGAAATTCAGCTGAAACAAAAACGTTCTCCGTTTGAGCATTGCTATTTGTGCAAAGCCGATCCAGCAAGTCAGCATCTTCACGTGCTGGGCAATGCTAGCTTTGAAAAAGACATTGCTGCTGATGAAGAAAAACAAGCTCCTGTTAAAGTGTCACCGTTGCCACCCTTCTATGAGAGCAGAAATTTATATGTCAGTTTTTCTTAGAAGCCTTACAATAGCAGCTCGGCGTAGCTGCACTTAGCTGTATCTCAGTAATATCACCAGCTTCATACTAACAGTCAGGAGTGGTGGTGACAGGTGGCTGTCGCACCTTACTGCATCCTTCCCTCGTATCATCTAAAGCTAACTCTGTTTACAGCTTAAGGATGAAACACAGATAGAAGAAAATACCACTGTACCACGTGCACCACCTAAATATCTCGTCGTAGCATATTAGGTAACCTGAGCTTGAGCACTACTGTATTTTTTTAAGATTTAAAACACGTGATTCAAACAGTGAACTCTTAATCGCCTATCTCCCATTCCTTTTTAAGTAGACTGCAACAACCAGATCAACCCCAGAAGCTTAATTGGTGAAAATCCAGAAGATAACAATGAAAATTGAGGCAGGGAGGTACGAATGAGATAAGACGTTTCGGTTCATTGAATCACATACGCCTTAACTCAGCCGTGCAACAGGACCTCGTCAGTATGACGGTTGCAGTGCTTGAAAGAGAAGCAAAAGGGAGAAAGCAGAGAAGCGAAAGAAGCAGAGGGAAAGCAAGAGAAAATTTTGGAAAAAAAAATCGATTTAGTAAAACCGAAAGCTTCACACTGACTTCCAAACAGCTTTGCTGAATGACTTGGAACTGTGTAGCAGTGAAGTCGCATCACTTATTGTTCAGGTGAACATTGTTCGTGATCGTCTTTCGGCATTTTTTCGTAAAGGTGAAAATATGCCATGCGTACGTAGTGGGATTTCCGTGTACACATACTGCTGTAACGAAAGCTTTCGTCGCGATGAATATTGCGCGCATTATGAATTATCGCATATGAACATCGATGATTGTATCGGACGTTGTCCACTTTATCTCGATGGATGTCCCTTCTTTTTCTGTAGATCTGAGCCGCTATGGGGACAGCTAAGGTATATTGTTTTGTTGTGTTTTCAATTTGACTTACAGTGGGCATGAACAGCTGCTGCCCGCTGTCAGTGGATACTAGTGGCTACTTCTCTCGAGAGTTAATTGATGCACGCTGGTGGCAATCAATGGTCATTTCCTTTTTTTTTAAAATTTCGTTTGGTCAGAAATCGT